CAGGCCGAGCCGCAATCCTCGCAGACCTCGAAGAAACCGCTTATATTCGGGCTGCATCCTATAACTAACTATCTATCTTCACAGGCCGAGCCGCTATCCTCGCAGACCTCGGAGATACCGCTTCTATCTGGGCTGCATCCTATAACTATCTATCTATCCTCGCAGGGCGAGCTGCTATTCTCGCAGACCTCAAAGATACCGCTTCTATCCAGGCTGCAACCTATAAATAACTATTTATTCAACCCGTAACCTGATTTAGATAACTCCTTCCGGTCAGGACTCGTTTACTATAAACATAGCCCTCGGGTTGGCATTTCTGGAGTGTCCGGGACTCTGTTTTACAATCCATCAAATCCTATACGATCCTGGAATTACCTAGATCAATATATTTGAAAATGACTACGATCCAACAGCTCAAACATGCTGAACCCGAAAATCACACACTAGGTGAGATCCGTTCGGGGTTCAAATGTTATCCGAATTAAGATCCACAAAATCCTATGCGCTCGTGAGGACCAAGGGATCATTCTAAAACTGAATGTGGTCCCCACCCTGCTGCCCACGGGCCCCAAGCGTTGGCAGCGCGTGGGTGGCTTGATCAATTCCAATGACCAGAAAATTCTGCAATCGTAAGCCTAGCTTTCTACCCTAGGTTCATAATATGATTTAGAGCCACTTTTGTTCTTGGATCTATCCCAAAAACTAGCCAGAAGTGGCTGGAATTGAGCTTCCAAAAACCAGCCAAACCCTAAATCCAAAATTATCCTCATCTACGCTAGAAATTTCTCAAATCCTACCCAACCATCAGCTAGAGCATGAAAAATAAGTGGAAAAGCATACCCCATACGATCGGATTGGTGGTCGGAGGAGAGAGATCAAAGCCGTGAAGTTTCTGTCAAAAACCAGTTAGAAATTCGCATTTTCCGACATGTTGGCAGTGGTAGACGGCGGGAAAGGGCTGGGGTTCAATGGCGGAACTAGGCCGGTCGTTTTGTGACTGGTCTCGTGACCTGTGGTGGCCGGAGGCAGTAGATGCAGGAGGAGGAAGGTGACGGCTGGAGGAAAAATCAAGAGAGAGTAAGGTCTGTCGCGTGGGGGAAGAGAGAGGTTTAAAAATCTGACCTGAAAAATTACCATTTTGCCCCTCAACATATTTTGATCATACCTCTCTTGTTAGAACTTGGATTTGAGCCCACTACGTGTCTACGGACTCATCTCGATATGCTCTACGCAACGGTACAACTGAAATTCCCAAATTCCTTCCTGGTCAAAAAGTCAACTTTTAAACCTAATAACATGTTCCGGGGGTATTTTAGTCCTTTCCTTGAATAAAATAATAATTAAGAATTAATTAAGGATCGGGTTGTTACAGTTAAGGTGTTGGAGGAGTAAAATGGGAGGGGTTCAAATCCCCCTTGTGTTTTTTTTTCCTCTCTTTTTTCCCTTTTTTTTCTTCTTCTTTTTCCTTTTTTTTTCCTTTACATCAATATTTTCGATATTTTAGCGATATTACACCGATATTTTGACAAAATATTGCTGAAGTGTGAGCGAAATTATCAACATCGATATTTTCCGATATTATCGTTGATATTGTAGATATTTATACGATATGTATATGGATATGTTCCAAAATATTTGTGATTCAAAAAAACCGAAATATCCTCGATATTTCATCGATATTTTAGACTATGCACTAAACATATCAAAACAACCAATTTCATATAAGAAACTAATGCAAATCATAGGAATATGGTATAGAAAATAAACAAAAATATGGAGTTATCGCATACCTTGTGCTATATATTGTTTAGTAAATGGTTTACGGTTTATTTATATAAAAAAAGAATTTTGAAATATTGCTGAATATTTATTTCGTCTATATGAGTGTTTATATCTTCACTCTAAATTATTATTATTTTCTCAGTATATGTTTACTTTGAGGGATTCCATAAACACATAATATAAAGAAAGATAGCAAAAGTAGCAGATGAACAAATGCAAACAACAACATATAACTAGTACAAAATAATTTCATAACCTTGTCACAAACACACCCACAAATGCCTTTCCATAAACCTTGACCTAACATATACTAAATAAAGGCAACATTGCATATGATGCAACCATGTCCAAATTTGATACGTAATCACAAAAAAATGGCCATGGTAGCAACATATGGCCGAAAGGTTCTGCCCTTTGCGTCTCGTGTTTTCCTAATTAAAGACATCAAAATATAAAGGCTGAAACCTTCCATTGTAGTAAGCATGAAAATAGGTTTGAAGCAAAGTTTAACGAAAAATCCAATTCCCCTTATTTGCCTCTGCTCAAACATTAGAACCAAAATGGTTACTTCCCTTACTCAGTATATTTGTTAACGTTGAAAATGGTAATAGCTGACCAGTCAAACCCAGGTACGATGAGTTTTGCATAGGACCGAAAGTAGTCAAATCCAGCTTGCATCATACACTTCTTTGACTCCACTGCATTCGATGAGTTCTTGAACTTTTAAAGAGCTACACTCCAAAGTTGTTGGTGTCTACATTTCATGCGCTGCAACTTTGCCCTATCCACATTGGCTTGCCTTTCGTCATCTTTGATTTGGCCTTCAACAAATTCCAACTGTACCCTTGCCATTTCGATTTCATCTCCAAGTTCAAGATGCCTATTCTTCCATAATCCAATAACTTTTTCATACTCAAAACTATCGACAAAATGGCAATTTTGTCTAGGAATGTGACAATACTTCTTTGGTGACTCACTTAGGATTCGAAGTTGGTCTTTCGTAGGAGGGGTATTTATTAAGGTGACATCAAATTTGGTTAGTAAATCCACTTTGTGGAGGGAGAGAGTTTCTATAGAGGCGAGAGTTTAAGTAGAGGGAGAGAGATTCTATGGAGGAAAGAGTTTATATGGAAGGGGGGGTCATATTAATACCAATGAAAGGGTTCCCACTAAAAAAACCTTTGCATGACAATTTTTTTTTTTTTTTTTTTTTTTTTTTTTTTTTTTTTTTTTTTTAGTCTAATACAGTTTAATTCTATCTAACTTGTTTGGTTTGTTTGGTTGGGTTCACTAAGTAGATGTCACTTCCATTGAGTTTCTTTCAACCACTGACAGTAATGTAAGGACAGTATGAGGTTGACATGCTTCAAAAACAAAAACTGGCATTTAAAAAAAAAAATTGAAATTGAGTACAGCCGAGGACAACACGCAAGCTTTGGTATGTTGGTCTATAAAGCTATGCCCCTTTTCTCAAACCAAATTGCATATGCAATCCTCATCCTCTAAAAATAAATAGGATTATTCAAGCACGCCAACCTCCTCAGGCACCAACAACACAATCGAAGATGAAAAATTGGAGTGGCAAGTTCCATTTCCGCTTCCACTTCGCCAACCCCTTCCATTTTCAACATCATCTGGGAGTGAGGGGGACTTCGATGATCTATTATAGGCAATACATGTCTTCAGTAGCGAGTTAGATTAAAATTCCAGACTGATCAATTCATGGCACAGGAAATCTGTTGAAGACTAGGCCACTTTGGCTGATCTTAGCATTAGAGTTAACAAAGCGTTCTCCCAAAAGAACTAGTACATGAAGCTGAGTCATAAAAGGAAGTTGAAAGTTGAGGAGTTGGATACAGTAACGAATGATAAAATAATAGATGTTTTGATGAACCATATGCGATGAAAATAGCACCACAATGAAATGGAGTTGGCATTCAATGAAGGATTTGATAAATTCCGAGCAATTGCGGCAATTACTTATACAAGTTATAATTGGGACTATGTACTCCTTGATGTTGTGAGAGAGATATTATATGATGGTGTGGACATCAGTGAGCATAAGCACATCAAAGCTACTTGGAAGAAGCCGACAGATATGAATGAGTGGTTGGGGTGATCGTGGTATTGCTAAGGGGGAGCAAATAATATGCTTTGCAATGTAATTTTCTTGTGTGTGCAGAATTATGATTAGTTCAAATGTTAGTATAGACTTTAATATTCTCTAAGCGTTCGTATTATGATTGGATGTGATGTACTTTTCATGCATAGTGTTTGGTACTGAAGATGTTGTAATGGAGTTTGTTTTTTAATTTCAAATGCTGCTTTCTAGTCATTCCGTTCCAACATAGTGCAAATTTCATGTATCTTTCAGTTACCGATGTTTACAAAATCGTGCACCAATATCTGTTGTTAGTCAAACTCATAATCAATAACCAGCCAATATCTGTCTCATATGACCATTTGGTATAAAAGAATAAAGTAGTTGCCCATTACAGCCCTAGAAGCATTAAAAAAACATATGTCTAGCCCTACCACTTTGCAACTAGGAAAAGCTAATGTCAACTGTTGGATCAACTATACACCTAATGCAATAATGTCCTAAACCAACAAAATATATAACAGATTAGCAATATGGGTAAATGGAAAATCGATTTTCACCCCAAATGACCATTGAAATAAACAAATTAATTGTTGTCCATTACAGCTCTACCACTTAATCATAATAAATAAATAAAAACATATCGTAAGCGATGTATGTTTGTATAGGAAACAATAATGTCAAATGAATAAAGAGTGTAGTCACTACCTTGGGTTGATTACCATGGCCCAAATGTTGCATCAAATTCTTGCATGAAAAATCTACTTGAGAACTCTGCATAGGGGGTGTGTTTAGATTTGTATCTTCTCTGTTGCAAGGGGAGACCTAAATGACACATAAAATAAGCACATAAACAAATATTTTTATGTTGCAAATAGTGTTAAATATAATTAAGGATGTCATCTTTAATCGTATAATAGCTTACGGGTTAACAATACGGTGACAATTCTATTTATCGTGATGGGTCTTCCTATAGTCAGTGCAGCGTCATCTCAATCGATCTACAATATTTTTCTTCCCTTCTTTTAATTTGCCTTTGGATCTCACCTGCTGTGGATCCTTTAGTTTAACTTGATTGGAACTATTTCTCACATCTTCTACAGTAGATGGGATGCAGTTACTTGCCTTCTCCAAAGACTTCAGTTTTGGGCTTCAGATCTTCAAAAGTTTGTTGCAGTAATTTGGAACCTTCCTCTGACAGTAATGCATCATCGATCAATTGACCTAAAAGCATGAACAAAATCGATTGCTTCAATACACGACTATTATCAACACAATTTTTTATTACATTGCCCTCCATATCAAAAACAACACTTGACTTCGCACTTGTCATCCACCTTTTTAATATGTATTGTTTCGGTAAATGCTTTACCTGCTTCTTCCATAATAAGGCGAGTAAGTGTCGGCATGGGATTCCATAACATTCAAATAATTTGCAACTGCATGATGCTACATCATCAAATTTGTCATAAACTACCTCTTTGACCTTTGAAACTCCTGGTGTTACTCTCTTTCTTACGTTGTACACCCAAATAGTATCAACTAAATTTATACGTTCTAAAAACATGAAACACTTCTATCTTGCTCTCGTTGAAATTTCTGTAACATTTCCCTCATGTAGATTTCCCTGAATTGCCTTTCCAATGGAGTAGACAATTGCATTCCAGGCACTTCATTGTGATCAATATGGTCAGCTGTCAAATCCTTATGACTCTGATGAGCAAGAGCTCTCTCAAATCTTACAATGAATTCCATCAAAGAATTTTTCATACAAACATATTGCTTGAAAAATGCATGAGAACTTTCAATCTTTGACTACTCGACATTCCAGCGGAAAAGACATGTTTATAATAGGCTGGAACCCAATTATGACGCAAATTAAAAATTGAATTCAACTATATATGTTCCTTCAATCCATTACTTCCAACTACTTCCTGTCATTTGACATCAAATTCTTCTTTCCTATCTATATCTCATATACAATTATGTAATTCCTCAATATTGTATCTACTATTTAGTTTTTCTGAGAACTTATTCATTATGTGCCACATACAATACCTGTGAAATGTCGTAAGGAGAAATTGCACGATCGTCTTTGCCATAGCTATATCTTGATCCGTAATGATCATTTTCAGAGCACTACCTAGCATTGCTTTTTTAAATTCTTCAAACAACCAAACAAAGGAGTCTTCATTTTCATTCACTAAATAAAGCACTTGCAAAAACAATTGTCTGCCCATGATTATTTAACCCTATCAATGGCGCGAACACCACACTATACTTGTTGGTGTTGTACCTGGTATCAAAAACAACTACATCTTCGTAATATCCATATGAACTCCTTGAGGTTGCATCTTGCCACAAAAAAAATTAGTTCTTACATATGAATCTGGCATCATCTTGAAGTAAAAGCCATCATTCTTTTTTCTCTTAGCCAAAAAATGTTCTTTTAAAAGCTCTGCATCATGCCCGATAAGCTTCGCATGAAGTTCTCTCTCCCAATTATACAAATCTTTATTGGTGCACACAATGTTTTCCATTCCTCTTACTTGTACCTCAAGAAGACTCATTTGTTGATTGGTAGCTATATTGGCTGCACCTAGGTCTCGGTTACATACCTTCTTAGACTTCGTAACTATATGGTTCCTTCTCAACAAATGCACTTTATCCTGGGTTGACATCATATGGTTATGTTTCTCAGGGAACCAAGAAATTATGTACTTGTTAGACTCAACTGCTTTTGAGGCCACAACTTTTTTCTTGCATCCTTCTCTACATTTACCTCCCATTCTTATGGGTTTAGGATCCTCGGGTGGCTCATAACACCCTTGTCTACAACTTACGAACTCTTTTTTTTATTAACTTATTTGTAAATCTTGTTCTTCTACTTGAATGTTTTCGAATACAAAACCTGGAGTTTCTTGCGTAAGTCTTGTAGAACTCATACACATCATCATGTGAGTTAAATTCTTTCTCCCACTTGTGGTTTCAAATTCATACTTACTACCAGTATCACTCCCACTTCATCATTTATTTGACTACTATCTTCCTCTGCCCCCTCAACTTGGTTCTGAATCTCTGCCCCATCAACTTGGTTTTCCACCTTTGTATTCACGTCCATTTTTCTAAAAGTTGCAACAACACAGTTAAAATCACATTATTTCCAAAAGCATATATGGTGCAATTTTAATGCAATCTTTCACATAAATTATGGTGCAATTAATAGTTGTTATACATAATAATTATTTTTAATACAACAATTGCCCATTTCTTAATCATACCAACAAGACAAATATTCATTATAGGAGTTTTTCATACCTATTCACTATGTAATCATATTTCATCACCAACATATTGACAATTAAGTGATATTTGTTTAACATATAAACAAAATTGTAGCTATCTGCACTGAAGTATAAGACACTTTTTTAAAATTTTTGTTCTTTTAACCTAACAACAATTTTGCTCTCCACCATACTCGATGCAATACTAACAAATGGTCTAAGCGACTGTTAATATACTATATTCCCCATCTCCATTGGATCATTTTATTTTTTTTATTTTTTTTGTTGAAAACCACTTTTAATATGAAAATGGAGAAGGGAGGAGACAGCACAAACTGCTCCTTCACAATCAAACAAACCAGGGAACCAAAGAAAAGCTAAAACACGCTCTTGGGTAACCAACAAAGGTTAGCATTCATAAACATTCCAAACCAAATTCTGACTAAAAACTACAGAATGTTTATAATCATTTACTAGTAATGCACTTCCCAAGGTGAGTTGAGAAAAAATTGGGCTAGTTGAGCTTCAAATGATGTCACAGACTGTACGACCAAGGCGGGTCAAGAAACAAATTGGTTGAGTTTGACCTCAAATCTCGTCCAAGCTCAACGAAGAGCCAAATGAGTTAAGCTTAATGAAGAGCCAGCTGTGTTTCATCGGTATTTGTCAAGCTTTGGGTCTTTGTTTCAGGTTGTCTTCAACCGGGATGCAACTTAAGTTGCTCTTTTAATCCAGCCGTCCAATTTTATCCAACGGCTGCGATCTATCCTCATTTAAGTTCCTCAGTTAAGGTTCCTTAAGAGAGACTCACTCTTATATAATGAATCTAGGTTGGGTTGGGCACGTGCACAAGGCATGAGGCCATTATTAAGTTAAGTCCATTAAGTTGTGGCCTAATACAGGCATAATGAGAGATTCGGCCAATTACTTGAACACATCTAAGTTGGCCCAGTTCTTTAGGGCAGTATGCTCGCTGTCTCTTTACACTTAAGTTCGATTCCCAATTCGCCTTTGTACTTAAGTTCAATTCCCAATTTGTATATTAAACTAGTTAGATTATTGCTTCACAACCCCATTAACAAATTAAAAAATAAATAAATAATTGAATAAATAAAAACTTGCAAGAATTGTATCATCAAATTATGGACCTATTTGGTGATTATATCACCGTATTCACATCATGTACATCTTGTCACTAATTCACCGTTTTATAGTCATTCAGGTACCAGCACGGCAAAGGCTATTGATTCAAGGAAATCAAGCCCAACAGTTCTTAAATTTTAGATATTGTAAATCCAATAGGACTAGCTACCGTATGTCTTTGATTCTGATAATCAACAAAAGGGAAAGCAAGCACAACACATGTTAAATTAAAATCTCAAATTCAAAATGAAGCAATATTGAAACAAGTAAAAGGATCGATGCGTATCCACTGAGAAATGAATCAAACAAAATGTAAGCCAGTCAATAATTTAGTCACATTGGAGCTTGTACTAGTTAACATAAATCATAAGGAAAATAAATATCAAGCATGCCATGCCCGTAGCTTTGAGATACATTAATTTGGGTTAATGTTATTCGACCCCAAAACCATAATTAGCATTGCTTTTGGGGTATTCCCACCCAACTATTTTCTTTTCTCCATCAATTAGAGAAGAGAAAGAAACAAAACCAAAAAAAGAAAAATAAAAATATAATTTAAATTTAAAAGAGAAGAGGAAAAGAAAAAAAAAAAAAAAAAAAAAAAAAAAAAAAAAAGAGGGAGAGGGCCGAGGGGTTTACATAATTAAATAAACAATGATGCAAACATGGATGGGACCCGATGATGATCAAATAAAATGATGAGAGAAAAAAAGTGAGATCAGTTTGAAGCAGAAGTGGAGGCCGTCCTAGCATAGTGCAGCACCATGACATGATCAGTGGTTGTGGTTGAGGAGTCTGGAAGCAAAGCCGGTGCTTCCCTTAGACTCCATATGTTATCTCTTACATGCTGCAACGTGAAGAAAGGCAGAAGCTGCTGTCCTCTACATGTTATCTCTACCTGTAATTTCATATCATTTTCAATCCCAATCACAACAACATTCCAAATTCTCACACCTCCACATATATACATATATATATATATATGTATGTATATATACACACACGCGTACATTAATAAAATGTAATCATTAATTAATTTAATTACATACTAACTATATAATGACAAACAGAAACAAATTATTAGCAATGGGCTCCCCTTAGCTATATTTGTTGATTTCACATGCATGAAAAAAGAGAAGTCCTTAGGTGCAATCATATCATACGTGCAGCTATAATAATTGTGCATGTTAGAACAGCATAATTATGAAAACTAGCTTTTTGCTTTTCTTTTAGCTGAGTGTAATTGATAGCCATGCAGATATTAAACCAGGACTTTAGGAAATGTAATCGAGTATATATTATAAAAACTCTCGGAAATAGGATGCAAGTGATCTTTTGTCTCTTATTAACATATATATATTGGATCATATGACAAGAAAAATCTAACTATTCAAAATATAATGTTAGAGAGTGTAACGATCTAAGGTCCTAAGTCGAAACTTAAAATCCGTGTAGGTTGTGTGAGTTTAGTATATTAACAATTCTCCTTTAAATAAGAAAGATCTTAAAATTTACTATCGCTTTTAATCAAAAAAATAGAAAGGTCTTAAAATATATATATATGAGAAAATAAAATCAGCAAATATTATGTAATGTTGAAGTCATGCTTTGTCACTAGCTTACGTCTTTTCCATGCTTTGTGTTCCATATATATAAATCTTTGTAACGTCTGCTTTACCCATAAATCTCTCTCAACTTTTTATCTTTACTCCCAAGAGATTCTTCATGCCCCACACCCAACAGTCCACGTTGATAACTTTTATATTCCAAAATAATAAAGAAAAAACATTCACACAATGAAAATTACGTATTAGTATGTAATAATGTAATTGTCCCATAGAAAAACTAAGGGATATTGGAAAAGAAAGTTAATTCGGTCAGCGGTCAGGCATTAAAATCGACTGTGAGGGGGCTGCCCGCCATCGCACGATCTTAAACTTCCTGGTTTTAATGATTAGGGGACCCACTCAGACTTTGCTGGTAAGCCAAAATCATGACGCTTTGGACTTTAATATTAAATTTACAAATTTATAAATAAACCCAATTCTAGACATGTATTTATAAAAAAACCCAAGCACTATTTAAACATAGAAACACACCCAAAATCAACCCCAAAGTCAACTTTTTGGGTGTGTTATAAATGAGTTTGAGTGTGTGTAATGATGGGTTTTGGGTGTGTTTATATGTTTAAATAGTACTTGGGTTTTTTTATAATTTCAACCCCCATTTTGGGTGTTTTAGTGAAACTCCCTATTAAATTAGCAAATATCAAATAATATAATTTTTTTATAAAAATAAATCAAAAAAAATCACGTAATGGATCCAAAAAGCACGGCGACGAATAGGCACTATCGATCTTTTATTTTTTTCAAAAGGGCCAAAGCCTAACTATTCCAATCCAATTTCATCTTCATGCACGTCTCTTTCACGTTGCTTCTGAAAACCCTAATTTGAAAGGTCAATATTCCTTCATGAACTAGCTTCCACCGCAGGATCTTCTCTGGCTAATAAAATATAAATATTATAATCTCTAAGACACTGCTTGAAACCTGGCAAAACCAAGTTGCTTAAAGGTCGTTTTTATATTAGCCAACAAACAAGGATTATCCTTGTATTTCTTTAATGTGCATGCATCGCATTCACCAACTATAAACTATTCATTCACTTTCATGCTTCTTATCTGTCTTTCGTGATTTTATTTTTGTTCTTATTATGATTCTTACTAACACCATGCATTTAATTCCTCCAACATAAAGTATTTTGTAATATTTATTCAGGTTTTTAGAACATTTACAACGAGCTAATACGCACGAACCTACACCATCAAAATGAGGCTAGCCACAACTAGGTTCCTAGCTGGTTGTGGTAGAGAGAGGATGGGGTCTATTAAATTCCATGCATCAAAGTGCAGCACTTAAGGTTTTGATGGGCCTTTTTTTAAGCACAAACAATGCATCTATATCTAGTAAAAGAGAGCGAATTAGAAGGGCCTACATTAGCTGTGGAATGGAAGGATGTGAAAGATGAGTATGAGTTGAAAGAAACGAAAGCGTGACGGAAGGAGAACGAGAGAGAGAGAGAGAGAGAGAGAGAGAGAGAGAGAGAGAACACCAAACGCATGCAAGAGGTTTTGAGAACGACAGGGTCCACGTGTGATTTTTGAGGCCCTACAATATAATTTGGACCGACAGATATGTGTTATTATCGACACTTTATTGTATGGTAATAAGTGTCAACTGGCCAAGATAATCCAAGATGATCGAAGATGTTTGATTTGCAACAACTTAAAGTCAATGAAGCAATTACAAAATACATGTTATTCATGTCGATGAAAAAAGAAGAATAATTTTTTATGATTCTCATGGATTGTGGCTAATCACCACAAAGAGCATCATGCATGCCTAGCTACCAGCTAGTGTGAAAACAAATCAACAAACCCAAAAGATCATACCTTGATCATCTGAGAATCATATCACCCACAGATACAAAGAGTCCTAAATTTACGCTAAAATCATCAGAGATTGTTTATATTTTTTTTGGTTCATGCGACTAAGTGTATTTAATGTAATAAGTTAGACCTCATCTTTCATGCCCACTTATAAACCTAATCATTGGGTATTTAGTTGCATGCCAGGTGTGAAGTGTACGAGTTGGCTTTCCGGCCGGCATGGAATTTAATTTAATTTCTCCCTAGAAAATTTGTGTAATTAACCTGGGCGGTGGATCCAAAGAAGAAAAGAAATTGCCAAATCAATGGTGTAAGGTTGACTTTATATAATACTAAAGTACGTGAAATTATCTAGTTTCCTTTTTATTATAGACATTTCCTATTGAGAGGGGCGACACCAAATTAAACTCACACACACTACACGGATACTAGAACTCGAACCCAGAACATTTCCTAAGAGAATAATTGCTCCAATCAAGTTATTTAGGTTATATGTAGAGTACATATATAAAAGCAAGGAGAATGTTTAGTGTGTCACACATCCTAACCTATTGCTATATTTTATTAATATGATATAGATATGGATGAAAGTTTTAATTGTAATTAGGGGGATATGAATATATATATATATATATGGGGGGTGCATGGAAACATTAGCTGCAGAGTTCGATTGTTGGTTGTTTTGCATATAGCTAGCTGTTTTGTTCGAGAATGATTAATATTATAAGATACTGTCTCCATCTCTCGTCTCCTAACTTGGTGGCATGGAGTATAAGGTAACAAAACAAGATTAATTGCATCATCAAATCATCGTAAAACATTTGACCTATATTATATACATTTTGTTGGTTTATCATTCCTTCCACTATTTTATATTCTAATTAATAGAAAACTAAAAACTGCTAAAGATGTAGAGTCAACAACTATTTTCTATGTATTTTAACAAATTAAAAAGATTGAACTTCAAATTGCAAAACATTGGCATGTAGAGTATGTCATGCAGATCAGTTCATACACACACACACACACACATATATATATATATATATATATAATTTAATTAGGCTACAAAGACATCGTATGAATATGATAATCTAGGTCAAGAGAAGACAAGTTAATAAGCATAGCCATCAGCCTAACACGTTAGCTGATCTAGTATTTATTTATTTTTAATGTGAATTAAGTTGTGGTTCCCTGTTCTTTCCCTGCTAGATATACTAGTTGTGTTGGTTCCTATATCAATTTCCCTAGGTCATGATTATTATTTTTAAATTAGTACTAATATCGTTTTCTTGTCCTTTTTTTTTATTAGTAGCAGGGATATACTGCAATAATTCATTCTATTATTAGTATTATCATTCTTAACCATTTCAACTCCTATTCAAAGCAATTATATATATTCGATTCATTTGTAAATTCATAATGAATTATTTGAGGAATTTTAAGTAGATTCATAGTTATTCGATTATCGACGAAGCTATTTCTATTGAATATATTCACTAAAGAATCCAAAAAAGTCCAATTAGAAAAAAAGACCACACTAATACAGTTACATTTGCATGTGGGAAATATAAATTTAGATTTATGCACCTTTCCTTTAATGACAAGACTTGTGTTTCTTAATTCATGTAGAAAGAGTAGACATTAATTATATCTTAATAAATATTATATATAGCTTAAACTTGCATGCATGGAATACAAATGTATCCTAAACAAAGAATATGCATGCATTTTCATCGAGTTATATATAATATGTAGAGCTGACTTTAGATCATGACTCAGGCCTTCACGTAACATCTATTATTGAATACTGAGATTTCGTTTACTCTCTGCAACTATGTCTTACACATCATGCTGTTGATTAAACCCGTGATTAATAATTAAAGTTTACTCGTTCGTTGCATAAACAATTTTATAATTTAAGAATGCTGGCTAATACCAAGGGTGGAGTATGCTAATCATTTCAAGGTATAATTAATACGTTAAGAAACCCTTAGTTCATTTGTGAAAGCTTAGGTCACTTTAAACACGACACGACTTATGTTTCGATATGTTTTAAGGAATTTTAACTTGAGCAAAATTATTAGGAAACATAGGTATTTCATCGTCAAGTGTGTGTTGGAAGAATTCCTTATGGTGCGCCGCAATAGTATGCACATTATCACTGTATTTTGCATACATCTAAGGTTTATTAAAACTTAATTACTCTATCTAGAGATCTGTCATATGAAAAAAGAAACTAACATGCATATGCCAGTTAACATTGCACTTGGAGGATCAAATTAACTTCTAGGGGGAATCAGAAACAAAGAAAAATAGCCAAGGAGTACCGCTGAAGCGAAGGAGGACTGGTGAAGCCTGAACGATTTGAGAGAAAGATCGATTTCTCTCAAACTTGTAGGAAAAAAAAAGAAGGTAAAAATGTTGTTGTTGATTATAAGAGGATACTCATATAAACAAGCCTGAACGATTTGAGAGACAGTGGGAAATATAAGCCAAGAACTCCTAGCTAGAGTCATATATATGTTGTACGCTGATCTAGGAAAAAAGAAGAAGCTAAAAAGTGTTGTTGTTGATTATAAGAGGACACTCATATAAACAAGAAAGGAAGATCAATCTCTTCTCTTCAGGTAAAATTTGCACATAATTTATATAAAAGATCAGTCTAAGCCACTTAATCCCACCCAACTCTCCTTTATCTTCATCTATTTGAAGTTAAGATACGAGTGTGTGCGTGTGTAGTCGAATTCCTATTGTTTGGCTTTCATAGTGGTGTTTCTATCTATGGTAATGTAGAGATTTTTCTTTCTTTTTTTTTGAATGTTGCTTGTGCTTTATTCTGCTTTTCCATACAGGTATTGCCAGTTCATTGAAATGTTACTTTCATTAATTTTAAGATATGAAAGAGGAAACTACTTTTATGCAAAGACGAAAGGACATTCATTTTCTCTACCATTGATTTGAGGTTTGAGCATAGCGCGGTGGTAGGTAAAGAAAGCACTTGATAGTAGTTAACCTTAATCAACTTTTACCCTTAATTCCATAACCAAGTTAACTAACTAAACATAAGCTGATTACCCATTTAGAAAGACTAATTTTATTTCCCCTTTATTAGAAAATAGTTATGAGCAGAAAAAGCTAAGGCGAACAATACAAAAAGAGAAGAGAAATATACTCACCACCTAAATATGGTTTTATCATAAGAAACAAATAGCACTATATACAAGCCCAATTCTAGTTCTGCTGTTTCTATCACGTCTCTAACACCAACCATGTGCTCATAGCTTAGCTTAGTTACTTGACAAATGATGTTTCTCGATGATGTTAAGTTAGTAAGCAGCACTACAAGCTATCAATTAATGATCAACTCTTAAGTATGAACTTCAAGTTTTCTGCTAATGGTCAGAAAACATACCTCTGATTCGCTATCCAGTCTCAGCTTGTTAACCAGATACTTCTTTATCAACCGGATTGTCATCCTTCTATCCCTAAATTTTCCCACATAAAAAAAATTATAAAAAAAAATTAATCGTATTGATAAATAAGTAAAAAGGAAAAAAAAAACCTCAGATTAACTAAATCCCAGAAGATGAAGGATAGAAAGAGTTTACTTGATTCTTAGGTAGCTTTTGGGTATCTGTGGCAAGAACGGTTCTTTTTCTCTGCATTGATGGAACAATTAATTATCATGAGAATTGATTAAACACAAATTAACATGAAGAAGAAAGAAAGAAAAAAAAGAGAGGGAAAGAATGATCAGTGGGGTCGGCTATCCAACAACACTAATAATGCTGATACAATATTACTTACTGATTTTGGGATGCTTGGAGCATAAACCAAATGCCCGACTGGGGCCTCCTGGGAGGATCAACAACTCTGAAATCTAAGCTTGGCCCAGCAACATTCATGTCGTGATGATACTGATGATGAAGCGGACGAGGAAAATAGGGGGAACCCAGTTGTGTGAAAGAGGAAGTTGAATAAGAAGAAGAGGTTGAAGCCATCCCTATATTATTATGAGGGACAGTTGGCCTGAATTGCCAGTTGCCCTCGTGGTGAGGAAACAAACTCGATGAGGAGCTGCTCATTCCCTGCCCAGGGTGTTGAAAGTATAAAGATGTAGCACTCGTAGAGAAATTCGAATGAAACGGCAGCCTTGCGGAAGAAGAAGAAGAAAGAGGACGGATTTCTGGAGGAACAAGAAACATTGGAGGCATATGATGATGCTGCATAGACGACATAGACCTGACTTGTCGTATGGATGATGAAAGAGCAGCGTCATGGCCAGGTGGTAATAGATCGAGCTCAATCAAACCGGGACCAGAAAGAGTGTCCCTTAAGCCTCTGGGGGTTTGGTCTACGGTTGCAGCTGGTTGATGATTGTTGGAGCCGCCTATAGTCAATTGGAGCCATCCTTCGTTGTCTCTGTCATCTGGAGCATCCTTTGAACTTGAACCGGCTTCGTTTACACTGTTGGTTCTCGACTCATCCTCAGCCATTGGATCAATCGCCACAAGATGGTGATGAAGATGATCAGATTCCGTAACGATACTGTTAATATTATTATTGTTGTTGCTGCTGTTATTATTACAACAATAATAATTATACTCATAACCTTCTTCTACTTGACTAGTAGTACTCATAAGACCGAAGCTCTGATCTTCTGCCGTGTTGTAATTGGCACCGCATCCACCATAACCACTGTAAAGATATCGATGATGTTGTTTGGATAAGTTTTGATGAGCAGCAGGAACCATGGTCATTTTGAGCAACCCACTAACCCAAAGGAGAAATAATATTGATTGGAGGCCTCAGCTTGAGCCATGAGTTGATAAAGAAACTAATTCTTGAATGATCTGGGGTTTAGATGGGGAAGTGAGATCTGCTGCTGGTGCCATGGGAGAAATGTTTTGAGCTAGTACTAATTGGGGTAGTGGTATAATTAAGAAAGAGAGAGACACCCATGAACATGAACGTCTTGCAGCGGCTGATGATGATGATGATCATGTGGTGGGTTTTTGTTTGATGCAGTTTCATTTCATCCTAGTCGAGATATGATATTCCCAGAAAAATCGGGAGAATAAACCTTGCAAATCTCACTTTCCATTAATTCTATATCTTTGGAAGCTTGTGGATGGAGATGAAATAGTTGCAGAGACAGAGAGAGAGAGACAGAGAGAGAGAGAGAGATGGTGATCAGTCAGTTATATTATATATGTATTTTTGTTCTTCTATTCTATATATGCTGAAGGAGAGGTCGAACAGTACTGGTGGTTTTTTTTAATAATAAAATAATAAAATAATAAAATAATAAAAAAATAAAAAAATTCTTGACTTTATTAAGAACTAAGAAGAAATATACGTCCCACCTGTTTTCTAATAAATAATTAGGCTAGGTACCGTGATTCTTTTACAACATATATATGTATACAAACATGGGTAAATACTTCAGACCCAGAAAAAAACATGGGTAAATACTTTGTTCTTAATTATAGCAACTTTTAACAAAAATTCATGAGATTATTATGAAAGTAACAATTCATTTGAGTAAGGGTGATTTTTACTTTTCATTGATTAAAAATTAATTGGTGATAACTTCCATTTTATACCGGCCGCGGTGATAATAATAATAATAATAATAATAATTACATGTAAAGTATAAGTAACTTTATCAATCGAAAGGTAAAAGGGTAACAAGCTAGATTATTAATGTTTGTTTGTACATCTTTAATTGAATATAGGGGTATAAATGTTGTGCATGAATGAATGAAATGACATAACGGCTCTCTCCTCCTTTTGAGATATCTCTAAAAGATCCCTTTTTAGGCACAGCAGTAGTGGATTTATGTGCTAAAGCCATCACTTGTGTTCTGTACTGTAGATATATATATATATATATATATATCTTTTGTGCTTTTCAATTTGGTACTCTATCATAATCCATATACAAGACTAGTTGTTTTCTGATCTGAAAATCGATGATGAACTCACATTATTATTAGCAGCTACCATCAAAGTAATTAAGAGTAATCCCAATAAAAATGATATGGGCTGTGTTTATTTTAGTCAAACAAGGTGCAGTACTTTTGGTTTGGTTTTAAGGATTAAATTAAGCAAGTAATTAATTAAATTTAAATGCCTGAAATTGAGAAAAGGAGAGAAGTGGCAGGGCATAATGACATTACCTGTCATGTGTCTAAACAAGAACAAGGCTGATTAAGATATTAATGCTCAGAGCACATTGGGCTAAGTTTTATATTAAGAGAGGTAATTAAGAATAAACAAATCAACAGGGGACTTGGGGGACTTGGGGGACTTGGGCATGCATATATGATGGTGTTTCCCCACAACCACAACCCAAGAATCGAAACACAGCGACGTGGGGCTTCCAATTACGAATTTAACAATCTATATTCCTTCCAAAACCCATGTGCCTCCCACCCTCCCTGCATCTCCTCCTGCCTCCTGTACGGCAATGGCAATGACAATGCCAATGGGAATGCCAATAGCATGCATCTGACTATTAATTTGCTGTCGAAATTCTATCTGCACCAGCAGGATGCTTAGTTTTATTTGGTAAAGCTTCAAAATTGAAAATCTGACATTTCAATTCAGATGGTGGTTGTTGGCTTGGCTTGGCTGCCTCTCTTCCTGAAAAGCTGACCATAATTTTTTTTTCCAGCCCATCATACACACCTTTATTTGAATTTTTTTGAAATGAAGGGACCTTTCAAAGACGCGTCAATCAGCGAATTCTATAAGCTCTGAAACTGTGGAGGAGAAATATATGCCATGCCATGCCATGCCATACAGGACACATGCAATTTTAATTTAATTTAATTAAATGCCCTATATATATATATATATATATATATTTGATCATTGATGGATGGACGGCTCATGGGGCACTCCTATAGTACTATAGGTGATCAACCACACTATTCTATAGACTATACCCATCCGTTGCAATTTGCATATACATCTAAATGAAGACTATTCTACCCCCATAATCCTGGACGCCACCCACGGATGCAAAATAAAACATAGATCATTTCAAATAACTGTAATTGTGGTAACATAGGTTCAAGTATATGACCCGGTTCGGTTTAGTTTGGTTTATAGCTCAATTGTGAACTCAGCCGATCATGCATGCCGATTCGATTTACTAATATACTTAGTTTTGGCTCGATTCGGTTTATTAATAGATATGATTTCTGAGGAATCACTTTGATATTTTTTGACATTTTTCTAATAGAAGTGCTTGCGAACAAAAACAGAAGTGCTTTCTATATAAGCATTCCCAAACTCACTAACTAATTGTATGCTTATTACATATACATTGTAATGAAAAATGAAAAAGTTACTTGGGGTGCCACATATGACATAGAGCTTAGATTAGAGTGGTAGAGAGAAATGGGAGGGAAGTAGTGTGATGAACATGATGATGGGTTTGGTTAAATTTGTATGGATATATATAAAAGGAGAAGAAGAGGTAGCAGAATGAGTGAGTGAGTGAGATGGCATGCCTGGCTGGTGACAGTGCATGGGCATGGAATGACTTAAGCTTGGAATAAAAGCATGAAAAGCAAGCAAAGGTGAAAGGCTATTGATAGTGATATCTTTCTACCCAAAATTCATCCGCAAGATATTGCCTTAGTGCTCTCAACGGTCCTACGTCACGCCGACTGCTCTCTCTTTTTTATTTGATTATACATAAAATATGTAGGACAGCGCTCAGGTAAATATTTTGAGTTAAATTCAATCTTAAACCATAAAAACACAACTCTTGAATTTGTAATTTGTTACTACTAGCTGCAATTCCAATTTTAATCCTTCCTTTTGATCTCCTAATTACTTTACTTAACTTGGGTCTGGTTTACTTAAGTAGGTGGTTGACTTTAATTATATAAGGAGTTATATATAATAGCCATAGTTTTGCCAAATTGGGCTGGACCAAGGAAGATTTAACCAAGTCATGCCAACCCGTTAGCTATGCCTATTGGGTGCACAAGATAATTAACACTAGAAAAGAAAACAAACACACAAATCAGACATCGGACAATTATAATTATTAGCACGAAAATAATTTGCTTTTCAATTCAATCATGAAATTACACGAAACCTCATGTGTTCTGTTCAGTAAGCAAAATTAGTCGTCTTTCCCATAGAAAAAAAAATTCTTATCAGACTCATGAATATGTGACTAGTAATAATCACGTGGACGGAGTGTTTCACCCGTTAATTGGGCCCCTAATCTGAGTAGACCAAGGGCAAATACTCATTGTTTATGGCATGGACTACCAAGGTATCTAATCTCGTTCGCTCCCCAAAGAAGCAGGACCACTAGCAAAATGTCAAAAATGAGTTTAATGGAGAGTTCCGAAATATGCGAAACAAAGGGGCAAACATGTATCTGAACTGAAAAACATCCCTTTTGGGTTTGGCTTTTGATTTGAAGAGTGTAGAAAGATGAAAAGAAAGCACAAGTTTTGGTGGATACGTAATAATAATGCATGGGATGCTCTTCGATCAATTCTGACTTTGGAGAGAGAGAGAAAGGGATATGATTTCATGTCATGCATAATGCATTAGATTAGCTAGAGTCCATTGGATTTGATTTAACCGTACTAAGGGGAGAGGCGGGGGGCCAAATGATGATGGCTTTGTAATGTGCTTGTTCCCATTGGAAGTGGGTTTGTTTTGCGCTCCCAATTCCCTTCCCTTTCCCTTTCCCTTCCCCCCACTAATTGGTTGATTGCTTTCGTTGGATATGATTTGTAGTTGAAGAATTAAAAACCAAAAACCAAAATGGGTTTGGTTTGGTTTGGGCTTTAATCTCGTCATCATGGCATCATCAATGCCATCATCATTAAAGCTCCTAATTCTCCCATACATGATGGGTTTTTAAGTTTTGTTTTTTCTTTTAAAGATTTCTGGGGTGCTGTAGGTGTTTAATTATTTGTTTGGTTGTGTCTGCATGTGCATGTGGTGCAATGAGTGCGAGTGTCAGGCAGTCTGTCTTCATGCATGTGATTGTGAGATAGAGGAATGGATAAATCAGTTTTTGTTGAAATCGAGAGAGAGAAAAGAGTGCATGGCGTATAGCGGGGGTTTGTCAGGTATTTGTGAGCACGGCACAAACTGCTCTGCTTCTCTCTCTCTCTCTGCTGCTTCTCTTTAGTCTGTTTTTCTGCTCTTCTTTCTCTGCTCCTGCTTTTGGGTTTGAATGCATGTGATGTGAGAAGTCCTTCTTCCCCATCCTCTATATACTAATTAAATTCAGAGCCCTTCCCATCCAGTCAACTTTAGTCAAACATATTCTTCTCTTCTTCCTGAGCCACAGCTACTACTCTTTCCTATTACGTTGCCTGCAGACTAAGTAAGATATAATAAGTCTCAAGTGATCTTTAATTGGACAAACTTTCTTTTGGGGCAAATGGGTCTTGGGGAAGAGCATTTTTTCCTAGGGAAACAAGAATCACAACAAATAATTATCTTTCATGAAAACCACACGTATGTCGTTTACATGACAAGGCTACTGTTGCCCATGAATTCCAGTTCGAGTGACATTAGGTAGTTCATGCTAGTTATTGTTATCTTCCAAATAGTTTAATTGCTTAATTCTCATCCAAGGATGGAGCAATTAATATTCAGTAATATTTAGAATGTTCACTAATGAGACAAAGAGGTTCGTGCCCATTTATATATTTGTATTTGATGTTTAATACATCATCGGATGTAGCCTGTAGCTTGAAAA